GCGCGCGCGGTCCAGGGGCTCAGTGGTGGTCGCGCGACGCCCGGGACAGCCTCAGAGAACTCTGAGCAGGGTTCCGGGAGGATTCAGCGGGGAAGCCCTGGGCGTCCCGTGTGGAAGTGAGCTGAGGCTTTCAGGGTGCTGAGGGACAGTCAGTCCTCCCAGCCCGTCCCCTCCAGGTTCGGGTTGGAGATTGCATGCACCTCGGAGCTTCAGGTAGGGCAGCGGGAACACCCGCGGGGCTCGGGACCCGCTGGGCGCCAAGGCAGGTCCTGGGGAGTCGGAAGGAGCGAGGGGAGGAAGTCCGGGATTCCAGGATGGGGCGTGTTCCGAAGCGGTTGGACTGGAGGAACCGAAAGATAGCTTTGAGGACTCCGGGAGTGGGAGAAGGGTTTTGAGGGGTCTCAGGATGAAGGTGTGCCCTCTTTTCCTAGGAGGAAACTTTGGGAAGCCTGAGCATGTGTGGCAGAGTGTAGGGGACGGGTTCCAGGGCTGGAGGAGTGGACAGGACAGTGCACGTCTAGGAGTCGGGGTGGGACAGCGTGAGAATGGGAGTGCCAGTGTGGGGGTGTTGGGGAAGTTGGGGTGATGGCCCTGAGATGGGAGATGTTTTGTAGGATATCAGCGAGCAAGAGAGAGAGAGAGAGAGAGAGACAGACAGACAGACAGACAGAGACAGACAGACAGACCTGAACTGGAGGGGGTGGCAGGTCCTGTCCGCTGTGGAGACAGTGGACTTGGGATGGGAACGGTGAGGAATGGGGGTACCCTGGGATGACGCGTTAGGGGAAGCATGTTGTACAGCAAGAAGGTAGTGTGAGGAGGCATTTCAGAGGGACACTAGGGCGAGATGTGTCTGTATAAGACCCTGGGGAAGCACCCCGTGGTGAATGGAATGGAGAGAGGAATGTGCCCTGGGATGATGTATGGAAGAGGCTGGGTTCCATGACCTTGAGAAATGTGGGTCCTTTTGTAGATAATGTCTGGAGGGAGGCATGGGGAAGTGGGGATTTGGGGGGATCCAGGGATCCTGGGCTGGGGTGTTATCAGCAGAAGTTGTCAGTACTTGTGTCTGGCAGCCCCTTTCCCCTTCCCAGTTGTCATTTCCTGTCTCCTTGAAGAAGAGACTGAATGTAACTGGTTAGAATTTTGTCCATGGGCAGAATAAAGAGGGCATCTCACATCTGTGTGTCACTCCCCCTATCTTAGTTGGGTGGTAGCAGAGGCTCTGGCTAAGATGGGAGAGGAACCCTTACATAAGTGCTCCTTGCTTTCATTGCCCAGTCTACTTCCAAAGCTTATTCCCAGCATACATCTCATTAGATCTTCTCAATGCCCCATTATATAGGCAGGGCCAATGTCATTACCTCATTCAGCAATAATGATAGCAGCTGCTATTTATTCAGCCCATATTATGTGTTGAGTGTGCTGTATTAAGCACTTTAGATACAGGCTTTTGCGGGGGGCAACATTCCGGTGGGGGGGAATTATATTATCCTTCCCTCTCTCTGTTTTGCTGTACTGGGAATTGAACCCAGGGCCTTCACACTGAGCTACATCCCCAGCCCATTTTTTATTTTGAGACAGAGTCTTGTTAAGTTGCCCAGGCTCAGCTTGAGCTTGGCAGTTCTCCTGCCTCAGCCTCCCAGAGTACTGGGATTACACATGTGTAATATACCCCCCATCAGAAGAGGAAGCAGGCTTTGAGAGGGCACATGATTCATCAAGAATCACAGTAGCGAATGGCAAGGCTGGTCTGTGTTCTTTCCCTCTCTGCTTTTGACTGTAGACGAGAAAACTGGCTCAGTGAAGCTCGGTGGCCTCCCAGGTCAACCATGTGATCATAGCAAAGTTTGGTCTGAGTCTTGGTTTTGAGAACCTCACATCGGTACATTGAGCACCCAACACACCACCTTTTTTCCTAAAAGAGAGAAGTGGTGTATATCCCCTTGCTTATGCCTCTCCTCGCAGTTGGAGGGGAACTTGGGAATCTTCTGCTCGGCTCGCTCACATCTTGGCTCCAGCGCTCTCACTGTGCTTTGTTTTGCTAGATTAGTAAAGCTGAGCTTGTCAAGCACGTGTGCTTATATGTACATATATATGCCATGTGTACATATATGCCATAGTACATGTGGTAGGTGTGCACATATGTATGTGAGTGACAGGGAAAAGTGTCTCATTCTTCTCTCCATCTCTCCTCCACAACCTGTTGTTGCTCTCAGTAGTGTAGGTGTGTGTGTGTGTGTGTGTGTGTGTGTGCGTGCGTGCTGGATGGGATCATGCTGGTTGTACTACTTTGTGACTTGTCCTAGAATCGTCTTCTGGTGTGACTTTCCTGCCAGCAAAAAGCCGTTTCCCATTATTTTTGATATGTAGTATTCTATTGTGTACTTGTACTGTAAGCTTTTTAATTTGATCCCTTTTGGTGGACTTTGAGGATTGTTTCCAGTTTTCCCCCCATCACAAATAGCTTTGGTGAACATGCTTATCTCCTGTGTGAAGCAGAATGGATGAGTGCAGTGTTGGAGAAGAAGTGTTTATAAAATGGTGATAACTCTTACACACCTTTCCTGTGGCACTTACAGAACCTTACAGAAGGCCCCAACTTCTCCGTGAGGTCCTTCCCGGCCAGGCATTAGTTAGCTTCTCATGAACGCTGAAGTATAGCCCGAGGTGTTCTGAGCACAGGACCCGAGGTTTGGTAAGTGCTCAGTGCACAGGTAATTGGACAAGGCACTGACTTGGGTCGGGGGTGGAGGTGGTGTGGAGATGCAGTCTGAAAATAGGCAGGAATGTGTTTATGAGGGGATACCAGACTTATTATCAGTCTGATAATGAGCAGACAATATGGTTTCTTTTCTTTCTTTTTTTTTCCCCCCCAGTACCAGGAGTCAAATTCAGAACCTTGCAATTGTGATACAGGTGCAGTGCCACTGAGCTAAATTCCTGCCCTAGTATGGTTTCTGCCCCCAAAAACTTCCAGGCCAGCAGAGGAGGTGGTTTGTGCAGGAGACTGCAGAGAGCTGTACACGCTCGTGCAAAGTTGAGTTCCTGACTGCATGGCCCTAAGGTTCTGTGGCCCTCCCTGTGTGCTGTGCTGTGCTGGGTGCTTCTAGAAGGAAACTTCTGGGGTGAGATCTGACCAGGCGTGTTCTTGTGGGAGAAGTGAGGTATAAGGTGTGGAGCTGTCCCCTTCCCACTTAACTCCTAGTGGGAACTTCTCTGTGCCAGGAGCTTTGGAAGCTTAGGAAGCAGGAGTGTCAGAGCTGCAGGGCTCACAGCACTGTTTGGGGACCTGGGGAAAGACAGGTCGCAGCAGGAATAGAGACTGTGGCTCCAGGAGGAGTGTGGAAGCCTCCTGTCCTAAACTAAGGTTTTGGAGTCCAATGTGTTGTCTGACTGGCCAGAGGCAATGGCCATGGGCAGGGGCGGTGAGCAGAGCCCTTCCAGATCCCAGCAGTACCTGGGGGCTGCTGACCCTTGTGGCCTGGAAAGACTGACTGGCCATTGGCACTTCCTATTTTGCTGGGTTTCCACCAATCTGAGACTCTTCAACCACATCTTTCTGGTTCTGTTTCCTCCTTTCTGTTTGTTTGTTTGTTTGTTTGTTTGCAGTAAATGGAGATTAAACCCAGGGCCTTCACACTGAGCTACATCCCAGCTGTTTTTGTTATTTTGAGATAGGGTCTCATTAAGTCACTAAGTTGCCTAGGCTGGCCTCAAACTTGCGGTCTTCCTGGATCAGCCTCCTAGATTGCTGGGATTACAGACTCCCACCACTGTGCTGGCTCCTCACTGACCTTTTTACACATTCATTCTGGGTCTGTTGTGCTGGGGTTCAAACCCAGGGCTGCATGTGCATGGCAAGTGCTCCACCTCTAAGCTGCAGCCCCATCCCTTTTTGGCATATTCTGATACAGCCGTACTGGCCCTTTTTTGAGTTCCTCAGGCCTACTGTGCCACTCTTTTCTCTGTCCTTTGCTGAAGCAC